GAGGAGTCTGACCCTACCGCCGTCGAGGCGCGCCGTTGCGACAAGGCGCTGCCGCTCTTCGACCTCGTCCTCTCCTTTGAAGTGCTTGAGCACATTCCACGCGAGCGGCACGAGCGGATCTTTGACTTCATGGTGCGGCACGCGGGAGGCTTTGTCGTGCTCAGCGTCGCTCGGCCACGCCAGCCTGGCTCGGGGCACATTGCGTGCCGGACCAAGAAGGACGTGCGCGGAGAGCTCGAGAGGCGCGGCCTGCGCTACCTGCCTCGCACGACTGCGCGACTGGCCGAGCTCACGCGCGAGGTGATGAAGTCGACCAACGTCCTAGCCTTTGCCGGCGGGAGATGAGCCGAGATGAGCCGAGATGAGTCAGTAGAGATGAGAGCACGCCTCAGCAAGATGGCAATCATGCACTCGATGTAGAGATGCAAACAGCTCGCTCCCTGTCCCCGTAGCCGCCGGGTCTCCGCTGGGCCTGGCGCTCGATGGGCCGGACGGCGCCAGGGGCGCGGGCTGGGCGAGCGACATGCCCGCCCACTTTGCGGGGCTTGTGGCGCCGTGCAGCGCGCCAAAGCCGCCAGGCGCGTTCCAGGGGTACACGAGGCGCGCCGGAGAGGCGGTCGACCCGTGCCAGGCGGCAGGTCCTTGCTACATATCTCGATATCTCGGGTAGATCGCATTCCTGCTGATGCCTACCAGGCGGCCGGCGCGGCGATGGCTCCTCTCGCGCCGGAGCAGATTGCGCTCAACGGCTCGTGTACCCGGTGGCCGCTCTTGCCCAGCTGTAAGAGCCGCTGCTCACGTGCTGTGCACTGTATTAAGGCGACCGCGTCCACTGGCCGTCGCGCAAGGCGCTGACGGCGGGCGAGCTGGCACTGTGGCCCGAACTGCTCGCGGAGGTGTCTCGAGAGTGCGCGGCGGCGCCCGAGGAGGATGGCCGGCGGCGGCGCCCGCCCAAGTGAGAAAGGGAGTCTAGGAGTCCTGTTGCGCCCCCCACCCCGCGCCCAGAACGGAGCACAACACTGAGGTCAT